AATATTTATTAAGTTACTTTTTAATAATTAGATAAGTTGTATGAAAAAATAACGTACTTTAACTTGATTTCTATTTTGCGTAACGTACTTTCAGGACTTTCATTTCTGTACCTAAAATGTAAAATTTTGAACATTTAAGTACCTGGATAACCGGTTGAAGCATTAACCGGTTACCATGGTGATGTGATGAGTTATGTGGTATCTGATTAATGTTTCAACAAATAATATTGAGTTGGATATCACAATCCTTGTCACATCAGCCACCTGTTTTGCAGGTAGTCCGGAGTCACCGCATTTGAACCTCCGTGGCCACAAGGAAATTTTTGTTTCTTCTTAGATTTGAACCTGGGACCTCCAGACACTTTTGATCTTTAGAGTCAAGCTCAAACCAATCAGACATCACCCTTGTGGTTGACTATTTAATTTTTTTTAAGACTACATACATGCATCTTAAATATCGTTGGTCAAGTGAGGGTTAAATGCACTCTTAACAGCTAATTTTTTCAACACATACTAATTTCAAGAATTAGTTTTTTACATTATCAATATATAAATTGACTTGATTCTGACATAAAATAATTGTACGTAGCATTACTCTATAAACTTAAATTTTATTGAACATATATATCTAATTGATGTGATATTTGTTAGCGGTCACAACCTCAAAAAAGGGATGTGACATATCATATGAATATTTGTGTCAGAAAATTAAAAATACATTGGACACATTATATTTATCATGTTATTAATATGTTTAATGTTTAATTTGGCATTGTTTGACAGATATAAGTTCACTTATTTTTTGAGTATACATTTAGATGGACATAAACTAACATTATTGAAACGCTAGTTGGGATAGTGTTTTAGGAGTTTTTGACACTTTTTTCTAATTATAACTCTGATTAATATTAATTGTTATTTATTATTAATTAATAAGTAATTTAAATTTATTAGATAGTATTAATTTCAATTTATTAATTAATTGTAACTATCAATTAATACTAATTTCAAAGCATTAATTAATTTTAATTGTAAATTATTCATTATTATTAACTATTGAGTGTTTAGAATTATTACTAATTTTATCAATTATTTTTATATTATTCAATATATTGAGTCGTTAACAAACAGATATAACAATTTTAAAAAAATGCTTTTGCAAATTACAGAAAAGTTAAAGTGATGTATTTCTTTTATCTTATATATAATAAAATTTTAATAAATATTTAATTTAATTATTTTTTTGATAATTATTAATTAACTAAGATATTTAAGGTTGACCAGATGTGTTTTTATTAATACTAGAAGGACACTCGTGCAATACAACAAAATACATTTTGATTTTAATGTTTTGTTTTATATTTTAGGTCTATGGATATGATAATACGATTTTATATGGTTTTGAAAAAAATAAAATGTTACTAAACCGATCTTATTCAAAAAATTTGTCCAAAATGCTTATAATGTGAAAAGATGATGATGTAAAGATGTGGTGGTGGACTTGTGATGGTCTTTTTCCAGACGTATGGTCGACGCTGAGAATATATATAATATATTGGACCACACCGCAAGCGTGGCCCTTTCACCCATCATGTCAACTATGACTTCTTAGAGTAAAATATAAATCTAGTACCGATGGTTTGTTAAAAATGACATTTTTAGTCCATCTAGTTTTGAAATTACTAGATGATCATCCTGATTTATAAAAACATTCATATTTGATCCTTTTCTTTAACAACCGTTAATTTTTTTAGTAAATTAAGGATATTTTTGTTCTGTTATTGACTTTTTTTGTTTTTTACCCAATCAAAAACCACAAGAACCAAAATCATAAAATTCACTTTGATTGGGTAAATACAAAAAAAATCAATAGAATGATGAAAAAGCTCTTCGTTTAACGGAATTTTTAATGGTTGTTAGAGAGAGTGACCAAATCCATACGTTTTTGAAAGTCACACCGACAATTTTGTAATTTCAAAACTTTAAGGGTGAGAACTGTTATTTCCGACAAATCACATGAACCAAATTTGCAGTTTACTCTTCATTTATAATGACATTTTTAAGTAAACTAGATCGATCAAAAAAGTTAAAGTAAAAATAATAAATATGGTTTTTATAAAAATTGATAACGTTTATATGATTTAGATCTACGACGTATGATGATACGGCTCTAGATTTTATTTACTAAAATGATATTTTAAAAAATGGATTTTATGTGATTAAATTTGGAGGATCAAATAATAAGTTGTAGAAGAAAATTTAATATAAAATTATCAATAATTTTAAATAAATAATTACTTGATTTTGATTTTTAAAAATCAAACGTTAAAACAAACAAATGAAAGTTCACGTTTTACTCCAGTTATAAAAGCGTTTGTTAGGTGAGATTTCAAGCAAATTACAAAAGGTTTATTTTAAATATAATTTACGCATATATTTTTATTGTTATTCTTTTAAAAATATAATACTTAAGGTGGATCACTAATCTACCCTTTTTCATTAATCACTTTATTGTTTTTTACCGATAACGGATAAAAAAGTCAAAATATCCCCTTTTTTTAGAGAGATGTCTCTGTAAATACTATATTTTTTTTTTGCTAGTCCCTCAAAACTTGATCCATGTTCTATAAAAATTGCATTTTTGTCTTGTCTTGGCTTGGCTGGGCCATTTCTTTGTGGTTGGTTTCTTTTTCTCTCCCTCTCTCTCTCTTCTCTCTCTCTCTCTCTCTCTCTCTCTCTCTCTCTTTCTTCTCCCTCCTTTTCTCTTCCTTCTTTTCCCCTCGATGAGCCTTGGATTATTCTGGTGGATGTGGTTCACCCGAACGCATATTTTGTTTGCTTTTAGCGTTTTTCTCTTTATAAGAGGGGCCTCCTCTCTTTCTATCAAAAAAAATAATGGAGACCACTAGCAAAAACAGATGGTATTTATAAAAGCACGTCTTAGAAAAAAAAAACCCTTATATTTTAGTTTTTTTTGTTAATTAAAAACAAAAACTTTAAAATGATTAGTGAAAATGGGTAGATTAGTCATTGAGATTTTAATTACTCATCTTTTGATTAATTTATCAAATTAGTAAAATAATTTAGCTATTTTTATGAGATTATACAAATCTTTGGATCATTTACGTTGTGAATCACGTAAATTTTTACAAAAAGGGGTTTCTTTCGTTTTTAAATATATGACATAATGAAATCATATGTGAGACTAAAAAGATTAAATTAAACACAACACACAACAAACGTTAGACGAAAGAAATCCGTGTTTGTACCAACCTTTGTGTCATTTAACAAATTTTACTTTTTTTAAAGAAACAATGATTACTTAAAATTAATAGTTTTAAAGAGTAAGTTACTTTTTTCAGTATTGATGTTTTGTCGGGGTTTAATGAAATTGGTTTCTATAATTTTTAATTACATTTTTACCCCTTACGTTTGTAATTTTTAACGGATTTCGTCCCTCCCTACTAACATCAGTTAAGTTTTTTGATCAATTTATATTTTCCAACTACTTTAATCTTTTTTTATAAATAAAAAACAAAAACGCGTTTTTTTCTCGCCTTCTCTTTCACCATGACACCCTCCCCCCTCACTTGCGAACCTGCAACCCCTTCCCCGAGTGCGGATGGAAAATACTGATATGTCATGAACAAGATTCTAAATGGTGTGAGGCACAGTATGGCGACGAGGTCAAATATCAAATCTTAGGAGCCATGATGTCTTTCAAGGCGTGACTTATAATGGAAAATATTTATATCATGTGTATAAGAGTTAAATGCATGAAATAGCAATCTACTTTTATAAAATTTCTTATTATAGCATTCTACTTTTGTTTTTCTTTATTACAATAATGTACTTTCAAATTATTTTTTATTAAGGCATTATACTTTAAAAAATCTATCCATAATAGCAATGGGTAACTTGTTATTTTTTAAACCGGTTAACCCTTTGACTTTTTTGCTTGTGTGGTTTTAATGAGGTGATGTGGATGCCACATCATTTTGATGACTTAACTAAAATTAAAATAAAAACTTATTTCAAATTATTATTAGTGATTTTCATTTTTCATTGCTATGATCTAAAAAAACATTTAATTTTTTTTACTTTTTCTTATTAAGTTGCATTCAAATTAAATATTCTTATAATAAAATATTTATTAAATAAATACGAAACATTATTTTCGAGATATATTTTGTTTGTAAAAAATGTAACTTTTCATATTTTATGTTGTTCAAATAAATACATATCTTTTAAAGTTCTCTTTAAAATATTAATGAAATAAATTGTTATCTATATTTTTTTAATATTGTTATATTAATAAATAATTCAAAAAAGTCTAATTAATTTAATATATTTATACGTCAAGTAAAAAGTTTTTGAACAAATATAATATATTATTTAAAAGATAATATTTTTTGGTAAAAAAATGAACAATTCTTATTTTCCTTTTTTCAAAAAACACATATTGTTTAAAAATGTTAGCGAGATAAGTTGTGTTCTACTAGTTTTATTGATATTGATATATTAATGAATAATTTAGAATTTTTTTAATTCATTTAATACATTTATTAAATAACATGTAAAATATCTAAATATTAAAATTAAAAATATAGTGTTTAATAAGAACTAGTAGATGTTATAATAAAATAATTTTGAAAGTACAATGATGTGGTAAAAAAGTCACATCACTATAGTACATGTGGACAGCCTATGTGGACAATGAGGTGGCATGGAAACCTAGTATAATGGGTAAATTTAAATCGAAAGGTTACACAATGCTATAATGGATAAATTTTTCAAAGTACATTGTCCTAAAAAAATTTGAAAGTACATTGCTGTAATAAGAAAAACTGAAAGTACAATGTTAAAGGTTATTAATGGTAGTAAACAAACAACCTTTATTTTCAGTTAAAATAACCCACATATTTTAAAGGTTTTATTGACGGTGGTTGGTAATTTGCATTATAAATTGGGGTCCCCCATCAGACATCTACTTTGTCATATGCTTCATTCTTTCTTTCTACTCGTAACAAATCCTCCAAAATGACCAAAATTTTCCTCTCCCTCCTCCTCCCACTCCTCATCGCTTTCCCACAAACTTTTCCGGCCGCCGGAGCAAACCCCACCTTTCTTAAATCCGTGAAACTGAACCCGTTGAAACTCCGAACCGAAAAACTAAGCCACTTCAAATTCTATTGGCACGACATCATAAGCGGTTCCAACCCGACGGTCGTCAATATCGTGCGACCGCCGCCCAATAACAAAACGTCAGCCTCCGGGTTCGGCATGGTTAATATGATCGACGATCCATTGACGGAGAAACCTGAAATAGGGTCGAAGTTATTAGGAAGAGCACAAGGGTTTTACGGAGTGGCGTCACAGGAGGAAGTTGGGTTGTTGATGGCCATGAACTTTGTGTTTTCGACCGGAAAGTACAACGGGAGCACGTTGACGGTTTTGGGGAATAATCCGGTTTTTCATAAGGTGAGGGAGATGCCGGTGATCGGAGGAAGTGGGCTTTTCCGATTTGCTAGAGGGTATGTGCAAGCGAGCACACACGATTTTGATTTGAAAACAGGAGATGCTTGTGTCGAGTATAACGTTTATGTTTTACATTATTGATCTTGTTGTTTTCATTTTTTTGGCAACAAGTTGATCCATGTTTCCACTTTGTGTTTTTGTTTTTGTTTTTGTTTTTGTTTTTGTGTTGAAGAGTTATATAAATTATGGGTTTTTTTTCTTCGTCTTTTTGAAGTGGGTAGCACTTTATAATCATGATGTCCAAGAGATGATTGTGGGGGTAAACCACGAAAGTATTTTATATAATAAAAGTGGAAAATTTTGAAATAAATTAATCAAGTCATGTTGTTTTGTTCGGAAACCAAATCTAATGATATATACATCTCTAACCAATTCATCAAACTCTAAAATGTGTAAAATATCTAAAGGGGTGTTTAGGATTGCTTATAAAAATAACTTATTGATTTATTTCGGTATGATATATGTAATACGCATTTTTGAGTATTTATATAAACAACTTATACTGATGTCAAACCGGTAATAAGGAATTCTTTGAAAAAGTTAAACCCTTCTGACTTATAATAAGCTAATGAGTGATTTTATAGAAAACCATAAGTTGTTTTAAGGAAAAAGTCTAAAAAAAACCCAATGGACTTAATGATTAAGTCTTTGGACAATTTTTTGGAACAAATAAGTTCTTGGACAATTTTTTGGAACAAATAAGTTTTTGGACATTTTAAAACCTGTTAAACAATTTCTTGGACTTTCTAAAACCTGTTATATACATCCTTATAACCTATAAAACTAATTAACGTAGTAAAATAATAGAAAAAACATGAAAAAAGCCAATAAACATTCATATTTTGAGCGATAAAGTCCTTAAACATTTTTTGAACAAAAAAGTATTTACATTATATAAAATAAAACAAATATACCAAAAAATTATTTACATTTAAAAAAGATTATTGATGAAATTTATTTTAATTAAAAATAAAAGATATTATGTCAGTGATTTTAAAATTAAAAAAAAAATAAAAAAATTTAAAAATGATTACTGATCATATTTAGTTTAATTTAAAATAAAATATATTTCGTATATGATTTTTAAAATAAAAAGAAGTTTAAAAATGATTACTGATGAAATTTATTTTAATCAAAAATAAAAATATATTTTATTTTTAATTAAAACTAGAAGCGTACTCGTGCAATGCAGCGAGATACATCGTGATTTTAATATTTCATTTTATTCTTTATCTCAGTCGATGTTATAATATGGCTTTATGTGATTTTGAGAAAACGATGATGTTTTTATTTTTTAATAAA